AAAGAGTAGAATAGAGTTTTTCTAAATTATATTAAGAACGTAATATAAAGACGTTATAAGTAGTATATAAGTTAAATTAGCTTAAAGTTACTTTTCTTACTTAGTATATTATTAGCTATTCTAAGGTCTAAGAAGGCTATATTTAGGTTCTTAAACGCGTTCTTAAAGAGTAGTAAAAGTACTTTAAGCTACTTAGCGTTAAATACTAGTAGAAGAGGTACTAGCGCTTCTATAGTTTTTACAAAGATAAAATATAAATATATTATTAATACGTTTTAGAGCTAGATTTTAGTTTTCTTTTATATATAGTACGCTAAGCTATATAGAGAATAATTCTATCTAATCTAACTATTGCTTACGCCTTATTCTGCCTTTAATAACTTTAACTAGCTAGTAGCTATAGTTACCTACAAAAATCTAATAGTCGGATGAGGTGTAGCCACGTCATCTCGCCTAGACACGCTCGATTGGGGATTCCTGCCCTGACATGGCCAATGGGTCTGGGAGGATCTCCGCATCGCGCGCTTATTAGATGCTTAGTGGGGAATTTAAGCGGTGGTTGGGTCTTGGATGTTGGTGTGGGATCATTGTCTGATAGCGGTGACCGAGGATCAGGCGAGTAACGGGCGTAAGACGATGATGATCTGGCAGCGTGATAACTGGACAGTCGTCATTGCCGTGTGTCTCGTTACTGTGAAAGCGCTGTGATGTGAAATTGAAAGCACCGCATTGGAGGATGTTTCCTGAGATTCAATCACGTCCATTCCGTCACCACACGCAATTTCCGTTACAAGCACGGCTGGGCTGCAGCGCCCAGACACGGAAGGCGCGGTCAAGCTTTGTTACCGACACACATCAATCTGTCAGCGGCGCAGTGGCGCGCCTGAACCTCGGGACGCCTACATGGCCCTTGGATAAGCGCGCAATCCCCGCGTTAATCCCGGGCTTTCCCTTGCCTATGCGATTCTTGTTGCTTTCCGTGTGCCTGTCGTTGAGGCTTCCAGAAGGTCACATCTGCAGCAAGCATGGCGGTACGCCGGTACCCACGGCTCAACCCACAGATCTGGAAGCTGCTTATCCTTGTGCCCACATAAGCTCCATAGTATTAGCTTGGTATATGCTTGGAGTGCTTCGTGTCACAGGGCGCGAGTGGAGATGTTGCCCACTTGGGTATACTACCCACAGCATCAGCACGGAGCAAGTGAGACACGCGACCTGCCAGCTACTAATTTAGTTGAGTGTTGGTGTAAACGGTGTGATAAGGATACGAGTACGCAAGTCACGTTTCGTGATGTCTTTTCATTAGGTTCACCTCATCTACTCCTCGGATGCACAACGATGCGATCAAGCTTCATCCGACTCTCTATACGCACCCCGCGATCGACGACAACCTATCGCCTTAGCTTTTCGTACAAATATCCTCCCAAACAATAAAGAAAGTTGACACATGATGCGTCGGGTACTGTGAACAACAGAAGGAAACAATCGATGCTTATGATGATGGACCGTTGGGACCGGTAGTGTTGGGGTCACAACATTGCTTTCCTCCACCACAGCTATCGGGGCACTCGAGAAGACAGGCGTCAGGGCCGCCCTTGACGCTGGGGTTCTTGCTCTTGCGACCGCCATCTTCCGCGCCGCTTTCGTCTGAGCCATGTGCCGAGTGGTCGTGGCTAGCATCGAGGCAGAATTCGGGCTGGATGGTCGAAGAGTGAATACCGTACTGGTGGAGGCATTCGCGGATTTGGCGTGCGAGATCCATATAGCGTGCTGAGCCCTGACCCTTGAAGTCAAAGTCGACCTGGACGTGGAGCGATGCGATGAGCTTAGTGTCTGACAGTTGCCAGACGTGGAGGTGGTGGCAGGAGACGATGCCTGTGAGGTCGGTAATGTCGTCGGTGATGTCGTCGATAGACAGGTTCTCCGGGACAGCCTGGAGAAGGATACGAGATGCAGCCTTGCACAGGGGTAGAGCAGACAGGAGGATGATGACGGTGATGAGCAGAGATACCGCGGGATCAGCATACATCCTCCAGGAGTAGTCAGTGAGCCAGATGAACAGAGCAGTGGCAATGACACCGATGTTGCCCAGAGCATCACCCAAGACGTGTAGGAAAACACCGCGCATGTTCAGATCAGCGTGAGAGTGACCATGTCCACCTCCAGATGCCTCCTTCTTGGGCTGGTTGTGCTTGTGGCCCTTGTGGTTGTCCTTCTGGCTAGTCTTGCCGTTTCCGTGAGCATGGTCGTGAGAGTGGTCGTGCGAGCCGTGGCTCTTAGGCTTAGATAGAAGCGAAGTCTGCTCAGTAGGCTCGTCGTCATCGACGACATCGTTGTCCTCGTCATCTGCCTCATCGTCGTGCGCGCGGGAAGACTCGATGATGCTGTTCCTGAAGGAAGAGGGGTGTACGTAGATCTCGTCGATGGTCGCATAGTTGCGCGAGTGCGATCGGCTGTGGCGCTTGTTCTTCTTTGCGGTGGCTTTCGAGGGGGTTTGGGTAACGTTCGAGGGGAAGGCAACGCGGTTCTGGGGCAGCACATCGGCTACATTACCGCGCTCGTCCGCAACGGCATGGTCGTGCGCATCGATGCCGTGGGAGTGTCCCTCCTCAGCGTGCGAGTGTGCGTCGTTCCCGTGTGAATGACCGCCGTGGGAATGGCCGCCGTGACCGTGGTCGTGGAAGAGGAAGAGACCGACAATGTTGGACAGGAGGCCGCAAGAACCGACGATGAGGATGATAACCGGGTGGGAAACTTCCTGAGGCTCAACAAAGCGCTGGATGGCCTCGAGGAAGATGGAGAGACACAGCGCGACAAGGAAGACGCCGTTGATGAGGGCACCCAGGGTTTCCGCGCGTTGCCACTACTCCATGTTAGCATAGCCATTGCATGCCAGACGCGAGGCTTCTTACTCCGTATGTGTATGTCTTCGAGTTGGTCTTTTGGCTAGCGACCTTGACGGCCCATAGTCCAACGAGGAGCGATATGACATCGTTCAACTGCGCGTGGTGTCAGCATCATCACTTGCGGCGAGGCCGGATATACGCACCATGTGGAACGAGTCGGCGACCAGCGCCAAAGAGTGCACCGTGTAGCCCGCGATGAGCTCGACAAAGAAGAATGCCGTGTCGATGGCCAGCAGGATCATGATGCGCGTCGATTTGGAGAGCCCCATGTTGGCGGTATCGGAGCGCCGTGGACGCTGCTGTATCGGGCTGGAGTGATGGCGGCGCAAAGGGTGCGATCGGGGCTTCGACGCCTGTTATATAGATGGCGAGGACAGTGTTGTTGTGTTGCGCGAAAAAGGGTTTGGTCTCACGGTTCGCAAGGAGAATTAAGAAACAAACTAGCCATTGCGTCAGGGCGCATCCAGGCCGGTGTGAAAGCCGAAGCGCGTCCCCGCCACCAACTGCCAGACTGTGAGGCAGCGTTAACGGCCCTACCACAAAACTCTCCCGTAATGACCGCTTACATGCCCAACGTAACTTTAATCGCCTCAGATATTAATATCCTTCCAAACCTTGGGACATTTGGCGCAGATTGTGTGCGCTGCTTGCTGACTGCCCCCAACAACTCGAACGTATACCGAGGCCCAGGACCAAATGCGTCCGTTTCGATAGCCAACATACCCACAAACACGGCAGACCTTTCCAACGCTTTGCCCCGCATAGTTACTACGGTTCGCCGCTGTGCCTTCCGCCGACTTCAGTGCCGCAGCTTGAACAGTGAGCATGGCTAGTCGAAAGGGTCTTACATGGACCCACAGCAAACGATGACTATCCGCTATTCGAGACATGTTTGAAGCGTAACGACGCTCGTACAACTCCTACATGACTAGTTCTCGACTTCTGCCCGTTGCCATGGCTGGTGCGCTGACTAACCACATGCTGTGGCATGTGAACAGGCACTACTCATCCTCCAAAATACGTCTTCTCCACGTCCACTCCAACGAGTACTGCAAACGTCCCCAACAGCAAGAATCCCATCAACGCCATAACGAGTCCTACTTCCCACCCTCCCGCCATCGCCTTCCCTCTCACAAGCGCTCGCTGTAGTCTCCAAAACCTGATCGCTCCAATCACAACCACAACAATAGCCATGCAGATGAAGGTAGCTGCAAGTGGTTTCCCAACCTTGTAGAAGCCAAAGTGCGAATTGGGCGTAGACGAGTGTTGCAAGTGGAACAGCTGGGCAGTCACGATGCCCGTCATAACAAGAATGAGGGAGGTACGAAGGTAGCCCAGGAAAGTGCGTTCGAGTGCTGAGGCGTAGTCAGCAGTTGGATTGTCTGAGGAAGGAAAGGAATGGAGCCGTACCTAGATGATCTCTGTGCGCTCCTTCATCGATGCTAAGACTGACATGTCTACTCCAGAACCTAATGGCTGGGTCGTACCACCGCTCTCTCCTACCCATTTCCTCTTCATCGCTTCGATCCTCATACACATCGATCTGTGTACTCACAGTATCCACATTAGAAGTACGACGTCTTAGGTCATCTCTAGACCCATGCGACGAGCTGCGCAGTGATGTGTCGCGTGATCGTAGACTAGCGAAACTGGGCATCGCATGCGCTTCATTTGCTTCAGCAATCCTTTCGCGATGTACGGGAACTAGTTCTTCTGCAAAGCGCTGTCGTTCGTAGCGCACTGCATCCTCGGAATCGGGGTGCGGCTCAGCATAGGCGTGATGATGTAGAGCAGCCGCAGGTAGGTCAAGTGGTGATAGCGCGCGAGAAGATGTCGGGTCGCTCATCTGTCGGATCTGAAGTTGTGCAGAGCTTGTAAAAGTAGGAGCGAATTATTAGACATGATAACACTTGCTTGGTTCGCAAGTGACGATATCGGCTGGTCGGTCGGCTGATCGGCGTATTACCCTAGGAAGCTCATTCAAAGCCGCGTGTTTTACACCAACATCTCGAACAGGCAGTGATAATAGATATTAATATTAAGTTACCCATGCTTCTTCGTGACTATCTCCTTCCCTTCCTATCAACAGCTTCCTCATGCAAGCGCCAACCCACCGACAACCACTACAGCAGCAACGTACACCTGCTCCATAACCCCATGTGTCGCTCTTGCCGCAGCACCGCTCGACGTGCTCGCAGGGGCAGCTTCCGTGTTAGATGCTGAGCTCGAAGGAGAAGCAGTAGGCGTAGGAGTCCTCGCAGAGCCAGTCTCCTCAACATCATCCGGCGCATCAAAGAGTTCATTTCCGTCACTCGCCATCGTCCAGCCCAGCGCGGTACCGTCACCGCTAACAGCCTTTCCACGTACAAAGCCCTCCAACTCCACATCCTGGAGATTGATCGTCGTTTCGAACCCTGTCCTCCTTGCCACAGTGACATTGGTCCAGGTACGTGAATCGCTAGCATTGGCTGTGCATACAACCCAACTCTCAACCTCGGTGGCACCGTTCCAAGAAAAGAACGCCGTGTTGTCGTCTTGGTCCCAGTGCACATCCGGCTTGGTTGATGGCTTACCCTCCCATTGCTGGCGGTACGCGCGGTATGCGTTCACAACGTTGCTCTTGCCGAATTGTACATCGAGCAAGACATTGCCTTCGTGATCGAGCTCGGTGAAGTAGGGCTGGCTTCCGAATCCAAGCATAAAGTTTGTTGTTTCGTTGGAGGGATCGATGGCCTGTAAGCTGCCTTCGAATGTACCAAAGGTCTTGCCTAGATTGGTGAACTCGGTGATCAGCTTGACAGTCTTCTCATCCTGGTTAACGTCGAGCAGAAGACCTCGCGAGTAGCCGATCGTTTCGGTGGGTCCGTTGTCGAAGAGCGTCATGCGCGTTTGATCTTCGTCCACCCAGCGAGCATCGTGCTGGAACGCGAAGGTGACCGCTGGGTCAACATCGAAGTCCGACTGACGACCTTGAAGACGCCAGATGATGCTTCCATCTTGTCCAGAGATCTTGTAGATACAGTCCATGACACGCGCTGAGACTAGGTAGTCGCCGTTCTTGTCCTTTTCAACCGAGTTGATGTGGAAGTAATCCCACGGCGCTTCTTCGGACTGTCCAACGTCGGATGGTAGAGAGTTGTACGACTCGTTGATGCCAACATGCGTACTGGCATTCCACTCAAAGACAATGTCCCCAGTCTCGATGTTGATTTCCTGGAATGTGTTCTCGAACAGCCAACCGTTCTCAACACCCCCAGACGCTGTCAGATCCCATGGAATACCATGATAGATCAAGACGATCGCAGTGTCATCGGCGGTGATGAGGAACTCGTGGATATCGCCCATTTCGTCTCCGAATCGGCTGACTTGGAAGTGCGCAATCTCATCATAGCTCTGGTTGAGGATATGGTACGAGCCGCGTCCGTAGCCGTTCAGTAGCTCGCCCGACCAGAGTGTGAGTACAGGCTCGCCCTTGTACGTTTGCGTCTTGAAATCGAAGGGTTCGCTGTAATTCCCGGTCCACACAAGCGAGCCCATGCGGTCGTCCGAGAACTCTGGTTACACAGATTAGCACATGGATGTCGCGTGATACGATAGGGCTGACCCAATGCAGGGTTCATGTCAAACCCTCAACCAGCTTTCTGGAAAATAGAACGACGTACCGAATATCGCTGGCCAATTCTGCCCACTTGTAGGTAGACCGTTGATCCCTAGAAACACATGTCCACTCATCAATGCGGTGCCGTTGCGATTGATCTGCATCTGCGGTGGCTTCACGTCCACGTTGGATCTGTAAGTCTGGTACGGCGTGCCACTTGGATCTTCAGCTCCATAGCTATCGAAGTCATAACTGACAGAGTCCTGCGCGGTAACGAGAGGCAGTAGTAGAGACGAGAGCTGCAACAGCGCAAGGCTAGCCTGAGTAACGACTGAATGAACTCCGCGCATCGTGACGGCACACACTGAACGACTGACTGGAGCAGAACGAGACGAAAGCGACAGCAGGCAGCGACAGGATATAGTAGTGAAGGATTCAGAGCATAAAGAAAGAGGATAAGCAGGCTGAGAACAAAAGGCTCCTGCACAAAAAAGGCGGCCAGCCGTCATGTACCCCGGCCAGGGTGCGGCTGTTGGCTTCCCAGCTCATCTCCTCAATCCGGTCTGTCGATTGCTTACACTTGGCCCGGATAAGCTGAGCAAGCCACGCGCATTGGGCCTAACACGTCTCTCTTAGGCGCAGGTCATGGGGTACGTGATCCTCTTCGATGCAGCTTGTAGCTTTTGGCTGGACAGCTGCAGGGTGTGGGGCCGCGGCATGTTAAGGGCCCAGAGTATAGCAGCCTACAAACCATCTATTACACGTATGATTATGCTGCCTATTCACCGGTTCTGGCTCTGCGGCTGGGTACTTGCAGACGGTGTTCGTAGGCTGACGACGGCTTTGTTGTGACGCAGAGTAAACAGCAGGCTGAAGTCAGGCGTGCTAACGGCACGCGTTGATGATACGGACGACTGTGCCGTGTGCGCCACAAAATGAAATGCGGCTGCCGCGTCGAGCGGGGCTTGAAGGATGATTCGTACACCACCGCCACAGTCTTTCACCCTCGCTTATCGCTTGCCAGGTTTTACGGAAAATTACTGATGGTTAGCGCGGCATCATATCTCCACTTACATAAAGCAGGTTCTTGGTGGGTCGGTGGATGCATCGTGATGCCAAGTCAGGATGAATTCGTCGGCTTATGTTACCGTCTTGACCTCTTGGGCTGTCATACAGACCGACTCTACTTACTCATAAACTTTGATGCCATGTTTAAGACACTTCCCAAACCGCCTCCAGAGCCGCCGCCGCTACCACCGCTGCCTCCGCCCATCTGCGACTTCAAGTAGAACTTGAGAGCCATCTGTGCAGCCTGCGCAATGGCATCCTGCTTAGTAGCACTCGGATCCTACGCGTGTCAGTAACGATAAGAGAGGTATATTGAGCTTGTGACTTACGGTCTTGCCCTCGCTCTGTTGCTTGTCGAAAAGCTGGGCCGCCTGTCCCATAGCCATGCCTATGAACTTGTTCTGTCCGCCCTTGGCATCCTCGTTGCTGCTGTTGTTGAACATCTTCATGGCTTGCATAGCAGCAGCAGCTCCGACGTTATTTGAGCTGGCTTGCTCGTTACCGCCGTGGCCACCGCCACCGTAGAACTTCTCGTGCTGCTTGACAGCATCATCTTCGTCAACGTCCTCATCCTTGAGCTTGTCCTTCTTGCCGGACAGCATACCGAGGACATTGCTGAAGAGGTCGTTGTCACCGCTGTTACCAGACTCGCTTGATGCGTGCTGGGCTGCGCCAGAAAAATCATCTGAGCTGCCGCCGTAGCCGCCACCTCCGCCGTAGCCGCCACCTCCGCCGTAGGATGTGCCAGAAGATTGTTGGCCTTCATGGTGGCCGGATCCGCCGTAGCCTCCTGAGTTACCTCCTCCATAGCTGCCACCTGATGGGCGGTCATTGTAGCTGTCACCTCCGGATGGGCGGTCGTTGTAATTGCTGCCTCCGGATGGACGATCGTTGTAGCTGCTGCCTCCAGACGGACGGTCATTGTAGTTGTCGCCGCCGCCTGAGTAGCCACCGCTTGGACGTGACTCCTGCCGGCTTTCGTGTCCATATCCTCCGCCACCCGAGTAACCTCCACTAGGGCGGTCACCGCCATATCCTCCTCCACCCTCTTGTCGTCGTCCACCGTGGTCTTCGCGTCTGTCATCACCTAGCGCAGGGCCACCGTAGCCGCCTTCCTGTGGTCTTCCATGTTCTTCTCTGCGCTCACTACCCCCACCGTAACCACCTGAGGAGCCATAGCCACCTCCACCGCCACCCCTCCTCTCTTCGTCGCCAAGAGCAGGTCCTCCGAAGCCTCCCTCCTGGGGACGGCCGTATTCTTCGCGGCGATCACCGCCACCGCCGTATCCGCCCTGTTCGTTTCCGCGGCGGTCGTCTCCCCGGCCACCGTAGCCAGACTCCTGGCCGTACTCGCGGCGGTCGTCGTTGTAGGACATTTTGTAGGGTCGAGAGTCTATATACGTGTTAGCAATCGATGCGCCAAGCTGCAATACTCTGGAAGTGTCGATGTAACTATGAAGCGTAGCGTCAATGCTTGCCAGTCGGACGAACGTTCAGAACGCTTCACCAGAAGCTTGCTCCGATGCTTAGGACCAGCCAAACTATTAGACCGAGGCGAGCATCCAAGCTCGCAGCTGATCAATGCCTATGAGAGTGAGAAACTTACAAGGTGTGGTGAGTAGAAGAGTGAATAGGTTGAGTGTTGACAAAGTGTGTATGCGTAGATGTGTGTTTAAAGGGATGTAGGCTTCAAGTGACAGACTGGCAGCTATAGCTCTGGGCCCCTCCAAGCATGAGATTGCCCCGCTAGTGACGTACACCACGCGGCAAGCTTCCCTGTCATGATTCGCGCTAGTGTTACAGTAACATCTGCGCTGTCTGGGCTCGCATGTTATGTCACGTCACGCGATTCATCGATTGGCGGTCAGGGTCTTTAGGGTACGATTGGCTTGCACTTCTACAAACATACTATAATAGCTTCGGCGCAAAAGCTGCACTACGGGAGCCAAGCGACGATTTGCAGCTACGAGCGGCCACACCGAATCTACCGACCGTCCTGGTATTACACCGACCTTTAGTAGTCGTCGCTTCTCTTGTTTGAGCTACCATATCCCGAGCTCTCGCGGTCGTTAGAGCCATAGCTGTCCTCGTTCTTGCGTCCAGAGCTTCCGTACGAGTCATTGTCGTCACGGCCCGAAGAACCTCCATACCCAGAAGAGGTGTTGCCGGAGCCATAGGAAGATTCTTCAGAAGCTCCAAAGCCACCAGAGGACTTGTTGCTGGAGCCGTAGCTGTCGCTGTCCGTCTTGCGGTTGGACGAGCCGTACGAGTCATCATCGTCCTTGCGGTTAGATGATCCGTAGCTCGACTGGTTCTTGCTACCATATGAGTCGTTGTCATCGGTACGGTCCGATGAACCGTAGCTGGACTGTTTGTTGCTGCCGTACGAGGAATCATTGTTGTCGTTGTCGTTGCGGTCGGAAGAACCGTAGCTGGACTTCTTGTTGCTGCCGTACGAGTCTTCATCGTTGTCGTTACGGTTCGATGAGCCATAGCTCGATGATTTGTTCTCGGAACCGTAAGCGTCGTCACTGTCCTTACGGTCGGAGGAGCCATAGCTAGACTGCTTGTTGCTACCATAGGAGTCCTCGTCGTTGTCGTTGCGGTTCGAGGAGCCGTATCCCGAGGACTTGTTGCCAGACCCATAAGAGTCGTCGTTGCGGTCTGAGGAGCCGTAGCTTGATGATTTCTTCTCGGACCCGTAGGTATCGTCGTCATCATTCTTACGGTTGGAGGAACCGTACGAAGTGCTGTCGTTGTCATTTGACCCATAGCTAGACTTCTTGTTGTCGTAGGATGAGTCCTGGTCATTTCCATACCCGGAAGACTTGGAGCCGTACTCGTTGTCCTCACGGTTGCTGCTACCGTAGCCTGAGGTACGGTCCTCGCGGTCGTTGTCGTTGTAAGACATGTTGATAGAGATGTGTTTGAGTGAAAGACTCTGAAGGATTGGAAGATTTGGTAGAGAAGTTACTTGCTGTTTGCTGAACACTGACTATCGTGGCAGGCCTCTTCCTCTTTATATGCGTCCTCTCGAGGGCAGCGTACCCCTCTATCACCCCGCAATGCCGAAAGCAGGTTTGGTGTTGTTCATCCCGCCTATGCTGTATTACTATCGCTGTGACCCCTGTGAAGCTGAGCCGTACATTCGGACCGCTCTAGATCTCGGCAAAGTCCGGATGTGCCTTGGTTCAGCGGCAGTTCATCACCAAAACTGTCATGGTGAGTAACTGAGTCTCCATTGTGGCACCGCAAAGCCACCGCAAAGGAATGGTCCAGGAAGTATGAGAGAGTTTGATGTGACCTGTTACAGCATAGAACGACCTCACCAACTCCCGTAGTATTACCGTGGATGCACCGAAGCTGAAATTGCGGGATTAATGCGGTGGCTGATCGTGGTTACACTTTGTTCGGACACGTCTGGAGAGTTGGAGGGGTAGCTATCGAGTGGGCGTGGGCGAATAGAGCAAGTGCGATCGGACACGGGATGACCGAGGAGTGGGACATCGAGCACGCAAGCGACATGGGTTGCGAACTGGACCCCTACACAGCACAGCCACCTCAGCCACGCTTCCAGCCACCGCCTAACCTACAATTGATTAATGTATGTGCTAGAGAGATACCTCCAGACAGTAGTTAGGTTCCACGTGACTGCGATTACGCGGTACGGTTTGCTTCCATTTGTCTTCGTTTGTGCGACCAACGCGTCCGTCTGGACTTGCATGATCAGCAGCGTACGTGGCACCAGCAAAGGCTCTTGCTGAACCCATACTGTAATTTCGTTCACCGATGTACGTTTCCACTCATACTGCGTAGGCTGTTGGTTGCCTTCGTACATATCTTGCTCTAGATTGCAGGCTCATTGTCAGGAAGACTCTGCTTCAATCCAGCAGTCGCACGCTCGATCTTGTCTACCATCGAATCTTGGGAGAGGTGTTTGGCAAACGTCAGCGGCGTCATGCCATCGTCTGTAACAGTAGTTAGATCAGCGCTCCACTCGAGCAGAAGATCCAGTACGTCTTCATGGTCATTTGCAATTGCCTCGATGGTTGGTGTCCAGTTGTCCCAAGTTCGTACGTTGATATCGCAACCGTACTCCTTGAGCTTTCGCACTATATCCAGATCTCCACCACGGCAGGCTCGATAGAACGGAGTGGCTCCGGATGTTGAGGGTATATGTGGACTGGCTCCATGATGCAACAACAATTCCAACGCATCAGGATTACAAAACTCGGCCGCAAAATGTATCGGAGTCAAAGCTCTTTTGAATTCTGGCTCGGAAGTTGGCTGATCAGCGTTTGCACCATGATCTAGCAGATATTTCGTCACCCAAAGATTGTGCTCTTTTGCTGCTGCTGCCAGGCATGTCAGACCGTCTTCGAAGTTATAGTCTAGACTTGGTAATTGCTGCATTAATTCGATTGCAACATCGTTCAGTCCGAGCCAAATGCATAAGCATATGGGAGAATAATCGAAGAACTCTGTGTCGATATAGGTGTTCGCAAGCGAATCCTGCCATCTTCTATAGCAAGTTGGCCCCTCTTTAGGATCGAAAAAGAGGTACGCGAAAGGGATGGAACTATTCCTCGCTGACCAGTAGTTTCCTGCAAGCTTCGCATGCCTGTACCAGTTGAACGCGGCATACTGGCGAAACGCGTATCTCTCATCAACGTCCAAATCCAGGCTTTCGTCTAGCGGTTTACTGAATGTCTCCAGAGTGAGGTATCGTAGACATAAACCAGTCATCCAAGCATGTGCCTCGTTGAATTCGACGTGAAATGCACGGGCTGGACTTTTTTGGATGTCGTCAGAGCTAAGATACTCTTGAAATGAGTAATGACAGAGCTTAATTACGCTGTGTAGCCCACTCAGGTCTTCGATGCGTACAAGCGCAGATATAGGCTCCAGAACGTCGTACGGATCTGTAGCTACGGCGTCAAGGTCCAGATCGTTTTCCTCGTCTTCGATGGCCAAGACTTCTGCTAGCTGGCGAGCAGTCATGGGTGAAGCAGCAGCAACAAGACACCGGAACAACTTTTGTACCTCTTGAATCTTAGTTGGGTATCGTGCAGCGATATTGTGTAGAAGTATTTGGTACGTGTATCCAAGCCCATTCGGTAATGTTTGTACCATATGCTTGATTTCCTTATCCGACTTTGCTGCACAAATGTAGTCGATCTGCAACCGTGCCTGTAGTATTCTAGATCCCGTTAGCTGTCTTTCTCCGAATACAAACTATGCCTCTTGGAACTTGCGCCCAGCCCACGTAGCTCAAGGAAAAGGTTACTTACGTGCCTGAGCAAAGGGAAATATGCCGCTGTATGACAGGCAAAATGCTGTTGTTTCTTACTTTCAACACACCCTTGGCCAAGCGCAATTGAAGTTCTTCTTTGATGTAGTGCTGGGTATCGGGACGCATGTTCTCTGCAAGAACGATGTGTGTCATGCTAAGGTTTGGATATCGCCCTTGAGTGCGAGCATCGAATCGGCTCGTAAGAAGGGTTCTGATACGGCAGCCCGCGCTCTTTCCGGAGTTGTGTATTGTTGTGAGACTTTGAGCTATAGCATCACCTTCAGTGGACTCATCGAGCGCGTCTACGATGACGAATACCTCTTTCAGACATACCGTTGCCGAAGAGATCAGTGGTATGTACTCATCTTTAGGACAAGGACGACTGCCTTCCTTAGATTTCTCATTGTACAGCGCTCTGCCTGGTTCGAGAGACAATGGTGAAGCTTCCATCATCTGCCTCACGACGCTTGCAGCGAAGTTTTCATGCGTCATTTTCGCACGATCACGGTGATCGCAGAAAAAGTACACGACCGAGGTGGTATCCGTGTACATCTGTTGAATATGTCGAATAATAGAAGCACAAAGAAGCGTCTTCCCAGCCCCAGGAAGACCAGTAATCCACATGGTGCCAGAATCTGACTCTTTCCAATTTTGAAACGCCTTGGAGCCTAAGAGCCATTCTCCGGTTCCAGGAATATGGCGACTCAATGCGCTGGCAAGACTGGCATGCGCACCATCAGATGGCGTTGGACAGACCCACGTTATTACCTTCTGTGCCTCCTCACGACTCATCCGCGCACGGAGCTGCTCAGACATATTCTTCATCTCGTCTGATATCAGACCTTGACCTATCTCGATGCGCCGAATCGCGGATCTGTGGACCGTTTAGGCCAGATACTCATCAGGAAGCATGCATACTCACGCAGAGTTGGCCTCGATAGCATTCGCAAGTAATCCACGCATATGATGAAGCCTCTTCAGAGCGTCTTTGGTCTCTTTCTCTTTGAACGGCCACATCAGTTTCCGCCCAAGGTTCTTTGCATCTTGACCATTGACCTGCTCGCATTTTGCCAGCGCCCGCTCGATCGACTTGAGCGTGGACTGGCATTCTTGGAAGACACCGACCCGTTCAAGAGCCTGCAGCGCATCGTCTGCAGCTGCTTTGGGCGACGTATCTGCGATTTGCTGTAATTGCGCGAGAAGGCTGTTGACGGCCGCGGTTTCCGTCAGGAGACTCCGGATCTCGCTGGGCGCTCGCGCGACCTTCGATAGGAAGTTGTAGCCGCCAGCGAGTAGGGCACCGCTCAGTTGGACAAGCTGAGCAACAGATGCAACTGTACCAACAACCTCAGCCATGGCATCTGGCCAAAAATGATTGCACGTGGTTGATCGTTATGAGTGCGCGCAGTGTGGGAGTCTAGGATGGTAGGCGCGTCAGAGCTGAAGTTCAGCGCGAAGGCGGGGAGAACCCCAGCCACTTCCCTAATGGTCAATCTTCAACAATCAGTACTTTCAAGGCTGCATCTGAATAACAGGGTTGAATTTGTAGTCGCTGCTTCACATGAGATCAAAACGATAAGGCGCTACATTCGTTCTGCAAATCCACACATCCTCAAACATCTCTCCGCGTCCCTTCAACAGACCGCTCCTCCTCAGCCTCATTTCTCCTGTCATACGCCTCCGCCAACCCCTTCAACTCCCCCAGATCCTCAATAAGTATAGTAACATTCTGTTTTGCCATCAGCAGAAGAGCATCGAGTTCCTTCTTCTTAAGAGAGCCCTGCGTTACTTTTCCAGTCGGCAGAGGCGGGGCGACATAGCCTTCTGGCTTACAGAATTCTAAAAGCCCGTCGTCTTGGACACTGGGAGTCGGAGTGCGCGAGAAGATGCATGCCAAAGGACTACGGTACATTTCGCGTCTTTTCTGAATGTCGAGGAGTGTGCGCCAAACCTCCCATTCGCGCTCCCAGCATCCAGTCAGAATCTTGGTGCTGAAATCTGCTATGCGCTTTAGCTCGGTAATCTCGTCCTGTAAGCTGCCATTTTCTCGATCGAGTTCTCTGATCTGGAGGTGGTTCTGTTCGAGCTGCGTGCTGAGCTGCGGAATGAGATCTTCTTCTAGACCCCAGACGCGATCTTGCAGACCGTGAACAGCAGTATGTAATCTTTGGACAAGACGCACTACTATTGGAATATCTGACGCGGCATTACTGGGCGGCACAAGTGCAGGGAAAGGTGGCAGATGCGGAGGTGCTGAGTCTTGGACGACGTCGTAGTGGAGGGCGAGCTCGGAAGGTGTTAGTAGCGAACAGAGGAGGTTGAAGACGTGCTCTGGCACGTTGTCGGGAAGCGCAGGCGGGTAGTGGAAAGCATCATGACCCGAGTCCCCGCTAGAGCTTGATGGGGGATAGTAGCCTGGATGTACACCATTCGTTAGTTGAGCTGGGCTCTCGTCACTGCCTCCTCGTAATGGCAGATTATTGGGCGTGGGAGAGCGATAGAGTGTGCGGCTTGAACTTGAATCGCTGTGATGTTCAGAACTAATACCATTTGTTAGCGGTGGCGGCTGCTGCTCTTCACTCCTCCTAATATCTTCCAGTGACTGAGATGGAGGCGTCTGCTCAGCATGATGGCGATCATAAAACGCACTTCCAGCAATCGGGTAGCTGAAATTTGGAACAAGACCAGCGTCTGCCACCGTGATAGGAAGATCTCCATGCCCAGAATCAACATTGGTAGAGTTTTGACGCACTCTTTCTTGGATTCTTGCTCTCGTGGCCGGATCAACAACATCACTGCGAATGATTCTGTTAAGCGCTGTGAGCCATGTTAGTAGTTCAGGCTCCTCGGTCCGGTCAGATAAACCGTTTGGTAATTCTGTAGAGAGTTCTGCTTGAGCTTGCGTATGCACAGAATCTGCCGGAGCAGGCGGGGGTGATGAATCCGTCCGCGATACCGCATCAACAGTAGTTTGAGGCGGCACTGTTGGATGCAGTCGTGCTGCGGGGGTTGTCGTTGTCGGTAGGCTGTGTGATGCGCTCGACTCATTCACAGTAGCCTGTACACCAGGATCACGGAACTGACAACTGTCTGAAGGGAAGTCCATGAAGCCATCCCACTCAGTAGTGCCTGGCGTGATCAGCGCCCTCGGTGGAGATGGTTGTTCTGGAGGAGAAGGTCGCCGCTCCGGAATCTGTGTTCGCCGAACGGTAGGAGTTCTGCCGTTTCGCTCCTCCCATCGCCTAAGATTGTCCGTGTTTTGTGCGGAAGTCAGATACTCACTCGGCACAGGCCTCGGGTGCTGTGTTTGCCCAGCCGCAGCAGACTTGTTGTTCTTCTCTTCCCACCTCCTTAAGTTCTCCCTATTCTGTGAGGCTGTCAAGTACTCACTCGGTACAGGTCTTGGAGGGAGCTTCTGCTCTGCTTGTGTTTTTGGACGCCGGATTGGAGTCCTATGCACCTCCTGCCGAAGCTCTCCACCTGGTGGACCAGCGTATATTGGTTCAACGTCCGAAGCTAGCATGATGCTGTTGAAGAAGAGCTGCTCTCGTGGGTATATATGGCCTCGGTACGGACCCCTATCGATGATCACCGGAAGTTCGTCAGGCGAGTCACCACTTCTGGGCCCAATACGTCCGTCATCGAGGTCATTTTCGATTTTGTCGAGAGCCCTTTGCCTCTCCTTCTCGCGTTGTGTTTCTAGCTGCCTCGGTGTAGGGGACGGCTCATGGATCGTGTAATAATGAGTTGGGCGTCGGAATGGGTGTTTGAGTCGCTGGAAGGATGGCATCGTCGTGGTTCTGATACTGGGAGTTAGGTGGCGGAGATACTGGACAGGAGATCGGAACAGGAATGGTCGATGGTGAGGATACATGCTGGGCTGTTTGGCAGTTCCATGTGCTCGGTTGTGACAAAGGGGCGTTTGTGAACGCGCTGGCTGAACATTCGCTTCAATGCAATCGCAGAGCGGTGCGTGGCCATGGTAATATCTGGACACGTTGATCCTCGGCAAAGGTGATATCGATGGTTTGGAAGGGACAACACAGACATAGCACAATCCATGCGGTAAGGTTGGAACGGAGTAGAGGGGTACCGTGATGTGTTGGAGCCTGAAGGTATTATTGCCGACGGCGTTATAAATATACACTACTTGCATTGTAATCTCTTGCAGCGAGATGCTTACTGTGAAGCAATGATCGTTCTTCCGGGTATGCAACAACCGTAAATGCGCCATGAAAAAAAGAAGAAACCGCTCCATGGCTATGCAACCGCGAGAATGCAGATGAAACGCCCCCATGCCGTGTGATCGTAAACCGTAACGCCGAAGAACCTCAAAACCTCTTCTTCGCCTTGGCAGCCATAGCCGCCAACTTCTTCTTACGTTCTTCTTTCTCACGCTTCAACCGATTTTCCTCCGCTAGTGCCTCCGCGTCTTCCTTCTTAGCAACCTTGAGTGCTATCTGTTCTTCTTCTTCTACGTCCCAGATACCGCCCTCCATGTCAGAAGAAGCGTCAGAGGCATAGTCTTCTTCTTCGTCCTCCATCTCACTAAGCTCGTCCCAGTCTGCGTAACCGTCATATCGTCCTTTGCCTGGGTTCGGTTTGGCCTTGACGGCTGGTGTGCCGTTTCGACTAGACGTTGCAGGTGCGCTTGTTGGACGGGCGGTTCCCTTGTAGCCAACCTCAACAGGCTTCTTGGCAGGTCGTGCTGTGCCTTGATAACCAACTTCGACAGCCTTCTTCTTGTCTTTCGATGGATCGGCTTTCGGGTCTGTTGTTCTTGAGGGTAATCCAGCGACGGGCTTCTTGCCCTTTGCGCCGGCACTTGCTTCTGCCTTGAGTGCCAAGCGTTCTTTTCGTGTAAGGATCTTTGTTGGTTCATGCTTGATTGGTGGGGCGATAGGCTTCGTTGAGTCTTTCTCCTTCGCCTTCTGAAGCATAGCGAGATATCCTTTCTTGGGTGCGGCAGACGAGGCGGGTGTTGAGGTGGTGGCGGCGGGCGCAGGCTTGGGTGCAGGAGCTGCAGCCTTCGGTTTGGCAGCGGGCGCATTTGACGACTGTAGAGGTTTTCGCACGGGGGGATTCGCCGGCTTTGAGGATGCTGGTGCAGCAGTGCCACGATACGGGACGGCGGTGGTAGATGCGGACGGAGCTGGTTTCGACGTGGCAGGCGATGAGGTGGCGCGCACGGCACCATTTGCCTGCGCTGATCCCCCGACAGCCTCTTTCCTCTGTATCTTGACCTGTGTACTCTCGACTGGACCTGAGGCCTTGCGCTTCAGCTGGGGGGTTTGCGAGGCGCTACTTGCCCCTCCGATCGGTCGCGGCGCTGGCCTAGGGGCTCCGACGGGCGGGCCTTGCTTCGAAACCGTCGCCTGCGTCTTCGCGCCCGTACGGTCGATTATAGACATGATGTCTTTGAGAGACTAGATGATGCAGTCAGCATACGACTGCTGGTGGGGATGGAGTCGCCGGACTCACGCTCATGATGGGCAACTGATAAGCGTTTGACTCAGGCTACCGGTCGTCAAATCGATTGGAGGACAAGTTGTACATGCTTTCCGGGTGAGATTCGCCGGTGTCGATAGTCGGCGATGACTGATCACGCGCGCGGGGAGGAGGATGGGCGCACGGGACCGGTCGTGGATTGAAGAGGGGAGCGGCCAGAGAATGAGCGGTCGGCGGCGGCGCAGACAAGTCGCTTTTATACATGGCTTTGCGCCTAGCCCGACGACACGTGACAAGACGGGCGTTTTGCGCTAGTCGCATTGCGGCATAGCCCAGGTAGCGAGATCCCACCCGAAGTCAATATTCGCGGACCTCGAACTTTTCTTTTCTACGACAACCTACAGAAGAACTTGTAGCTTCAGTCTCCGGCCCCGACGGTACGCATCACTTTGGAATCGCATCTAGCAGCGCAATACTGACGAGCGCAGGTTAAATCGATTGAACTCCTGTTCCAGACAAACCACCCCAACAATCACAATGAAGCACCTCGCGGCATACCTCCTTCTCGGTCTCGGTGGAAACACCTCCCCCTCTGCCGCTGATGTCAAGGTAAGAGGGAATCGCTCAGTACAACTCGCTATACCACGTCCTAACAACGCAATAGGCTGTCCTTGAGTCCGTCGGTATCGAGGCTGACTCCGACCGTCTCGACAAGCTGATCTCCGAGCTCGAGGGCAAGGACATCAACGAGCTCATCGCCTCCGGTTCCGAGAAGCTTGCTTCCGTTCCCTCTGGTGGTGCCGGTGGCGCCGCCGCTTCCGGTGGTGCTGCTGCCGCTGGCGGTGCCGCTGAGGCTGAGGCCGCTCCCGAGGCCGCCAAGGAGGAGGAGAAGGAGGAGTCTGACGACG